GATTTGAGACTACCGATAGTATCTCATTATGCCCATGAATCCCCATACAGCTCTTTAACCTCCAACCCCACTCAGACCACATCTCCTATTCTTACCCTACTCCCGAAATTCTGTTATCACTTCTGGAACTCATACTCAGGCATCAGCAAAATCTCCTGTTCCGAACATTCTCTCTAAACTTTCCCCTTTCTATCATTGCTCTAACTGAACTCCAACTGGCTAACCCCTGCAGCCTTCTCAAAAGGGAACCTCATTGTTTTTTTTTTCCTCTAACCTCTCACAGCTCATACCACTGGACCTGAGACTGGGATTAATTGTCTTACTTGCTGCTCCCAGACTCTTTACTTGCCCTCTTTCCTAAAACTACTCTAGCTTTGAAACTCTTGTCATCAGCCTGTAACCATGGTTCTCAATTGGGCAATTTTGCTCCTTTCTGCCACCTGGAATATGACTGGTGATGTGTGAAGACATTTTAGTTGCCACAACCAAGGGAGTTCTACTGGCACCTAGAGAGTCAAGGCCAGGAATGATGTTAAACATCCGACAATGCACAGGACAGCTCCCCCTACACCCCAACGAAGAACGATCCAGTCCAAAATGTCATTAATGCCAATACTGAGAAATCCTGGTTATACTGCTTCACTAATGCCACCTGCAGGACACTCGTCTCCTGCATCATTAACTTTGTTCTTTTGATCATGTCCATTAGTACACAAGCATGTTGTAATTTCCCTCATTTAAAAATACTGTCTGGGCACAGTAGCTCATGCTTGTAATCTCAGCAATTTGGGAGGCTGAGGTGGGCAGATCACCTGAGGTCAGGAGTTTGAGACCACCTTGGCCAACATGGCAAAGCCCTGTCTCTACTAAAAATACAAAAATCAGCAGGGCATGGTGGCGCACATCTGTATTCCCAGCTACTTGGGAGGCTGAGGCAGAAGAATCACTTGGACCCAGGAGACAGAGGTTGCAGTGAGCCAATATCACACCACTGCACTCCAGCCTGGGTGACAGCGAGACTTTGTCTCCAAAAAAAAAAAAAAAAAAAAGTTCTGACCTCATATCCCCCTTCCAGAAATCCTTCCCTTTCTCAGCTCTCCTTTACAGGAAAACTTCACTCTCTTAAGTTCTCTTTCCAATCTCTCTTAAACCCACTTCAGTCAGTGTTTTGCCCCATATTATGAAAACTGTTTTTGCCAAAGTTCCTCATGACCTTGACATTGTCACAAGTAATGGTGACTTATTAGTCCTCAGTTGCTCTCCACTTCCTTTTTGAAACACGTAATTCACTAGCTTCAAAAAAACAACACAGATCTAGTTCTCATATCTCACTGGCTGCTCTTTATTCATCAACCTGACCTCTGAATGTTGAAGTGTCTCAGAGTTCAGTTCTCAGACCTCCTCTGTTTTCTATCTAGACTCATTCCCTTGGTGATCTCATCTTGTTTCTTGGCTTTAAATACCATCTATATATGGACTACCACTAAATTTATTTCCCTAAACCAGACTTTTTTTCCTGAACTCCAGACTTATGTAACTACCTACTTAAAATTTACATTTTCATATGTTAATGGGCACCTCACTTTACTGATTTTTTTTTTTTTTGAGACAGGGGTCTTTACTCTGTTACCCAGGCTGGAGCATAGTAGTAATGATCACAGTTCATTGTAGCCTCAACCTGCTGTGGATCAAGCGATCCTCCCACCTCAGTCTTCTGAGTAGGTGTGCCACCACACCTCACTAATTTTTATTTTTTGTAAAGATGGTGTTTCCTTATGTTGGCAGGCTGGTCTTGAACTCCAGGGCCCAAGTGATCCTCCCGCCTCCCAAAGTGCTGAGATTACAGGTATCGGCCACCAAGCCTGGCTGGCATCTCACATTTAACATATCCAAAACTAAACATCTGAACTTCCCTGCGGAAACTGCTTCTTCCATCCCACTAAACAACAACATCTTGCCATTTACAAAAGCTAAAACCTTGGAGCCATCTTTGATGAATTCTGTCTCTCTCTTTCTCCGTCTAACTCCCACATCTAACTCATCAGCAAATCCTCTACTTTACAGTCAGTATAAAATCAGAGCCCTCAACATTTCTGTCCTGGTATAAGCTGCTATCATCTCAGCTAAGATAACTGCAATAGCCTCCTAACCAATCTCCTTCCCAAGGAGTCCATTTTCAATATAACAGCTAGAACGCCAGTCTTAAAATGAATACCAGAATCCCACGTGGTTCCCGATTTCCCTCAAGTTAAAATCAATGTCTTTTCAATGTCCTTTATGTTGGGAACCAGACCAACCTCACATGTGGGTGCCCTTAGTCCCGTTGGCGATGCGGGATTGAGAAAAGGAAATAAAGACAGAGACACAAGAGTAGAATTTACAGCACGGGTCCAGGGGACAAACACAAGTGTGGAAAATGAGTTGGCCCGAGCTCTGGGCTGCAAACACTTTTATCATGTGCACAATCACATTGATCTTATGGGCAGGGAAGGGGAAGTAAAGGAGTAGGTAAGATAGCCAGTGTGGGGAGAGCACTTGAGATCTTTCTAGAACATGCTAAACTAGTGCTCTGAGCATTTAACAGCACTTGAGATCCTTCTAAGACATGCTAAACTAGTACTCTGAGTTTACCACCAATTGTTATCAGGGTGCGGCTGCATCAGAAGTATAGCAGATGAGGAGCCACCTGGTCTGACCATACCCAATGCATCAAGGGGCTTTTATCTCCCAAGCATTGAGGATATACAGCAATTAGAATCACTCCATATTCCAAGAACCTAGGCAGAGCCTGAGGTGTTCCATGATCTCTGCCCTGCAAGGCTTTTCTCCTCCTTGCCAGCTCCCATCTGCGAAGACCCTCCCGGATCTAGTGAGCAGAGGTCGCCTCCCTTCTCAGAGATCTTTCCATAAGCCCTCTTTTCGAGGCCTTCATTCAGACTCCATGTTGAGAAGGCATTTGTGGGACCAGAGCAGTATTCCCTGCTCTGCAACCACCCTGAGGCGTTCCCCAGTGTTACTACTGCACTTTCGGATGGTCTTTACCTTAGGCCTCCTGTTGCTGCTTGATTTCTAATTAACTGCACCAATAATATAGTTTAGTTCAGTGTATAAACTTCAGTGTACTGTGAGCCAATCAAGCTTATAATTATTTAGGTAGAATTAACATAGGTCTCCCCTGGCCGTCTTGACCCACACTTTACAATCAAGATATGATTATATACTATAATCCTTAGAGTCCTGTATTATATTGCTTCCTGGGTCCTGTTTAACCTTTTATCCTGCTACTCTTCCTGCCTCACTTCATTGTGGCCATCTGGCTGCCTTGCCATTTTTCAAACATACCAGGTATCCTTCTGCTTATGTTCTTTTCCATATAGCTATATAATTCATGACCTTACCTCCTTTAGATCTTTACTCAAATGTCACTTTATCAGTGCGGTCTTCCCTGTTTTAAAATTTCACTCTTGTTCACTATTATCTACTTCACTGTCCTTCAGAAGCACTCCACCTTTTGAAATCCTGCAAGTTTTGTTTATTACCTGTTTTCCCTACTAGAATGTAAGGTCTAGAAAGACAGAAAGCTATTGTTTTTGTTACTGTTGAGGCCAGGGTTTAGCAATTGTGTTAAAGAGTAGGCACTCAAATATTGGTAGAACTGAATTCCTCCTTTCCAGCCTCTTGATCTCCTAAAAGCGGCTTCCATGTTCTACTACTCAGGGTTTAACTGAAGAGTCCCTTTGATTCTTCTTGCCTTCTCTACTGAATTAAAGTTGACTGCTATTACTTTGACACTCATCCTAGAGTCATGGCATAATTCTAAATCTGATTTATTTACATAAACACTTTAAAGCTAATATCCAGAGTTTAAAGAAATAAACCAAATCATCGATTGCATATCTTTCATTTCATTTCATTCATTCATTCATTCATTTATTTATTTTTCAGACTAGGTCTTGCTCTGTCACCCACACTGGAGTGCAGTGGCACAATCTTGGCTCACTGCAACCTCTGCCTCCTGAGTTCAGGCAATTCTCAAGCCTAAGCCACCTGAGTAGTTGGGATTACAGGCGTGTGTCACCACACCCCCGCTAATTTTTGTATTTTTAGTAGAGATTGGGTTTTGCCATGTTGGCCAAGCTGGTCTCAAACTCCTGGCCTCATGTTAGCCGCCTGCCTTGACCTTCCAAAGTCCTGGGATTACAGGACTGACCCACTACACTCAGCCTTTAATTTCCTGCTTATATGACATATCTTTACAATCATGATATGATTATACAGTATAATCCCTAGAGTCCTGAGCTAGGAGTTAGTAAACTAGAGTGTTAGTTTTAACAAAGCCAATGATTTGAGTTCAAATATTTTAACTTCTATCTATCAAATAGAGACTATTCTGGCCCTATTACATAGTGTCTCATAGCGAAATTTGTGTACATACGTTCCTTCCATTGCCTTTGAAGATTGGAGCTGTTGTATTCACCTGTGTATGTCACATGCTAAACACAGTATTTAGTAGCTAAATTTATACATGCATAAATACAAATTTTTGTTATAAGCATAAAATATGTGCAATTACTTGAGAAAACATGGTGTAACATAATATATATATATATATATATATATGCCATCAAATGAAGTTTAATTGATTCCCAGAGAAAAGGGAGAAATTATAGCTTTTCACCTAAGGGAGAACACTTTTATTTACTTATTCAGTTTGAAAATTAAAAATTAAACAAGATAGTTCATTTTCTTCAATTGTTTTCTTTTCCTTCATGGCCAGAAATACCACTACTTTATCCTATATAAAGATCATAAATGAAACTTTAAACTTCAGTGCATCACTATTTTCAGCATCCAGGACCAGTACCATCATGTGTTTTGTTCACAGGTTTCCGTTCCATCCTTCCCATTTTTGTTTCTGTAGCCATGATGTTAATTTGAAATTAAGGGGAACACTGCATGTTACTATATTTCAGTAATAAGTGCTATATTTAGTCTCTTACCAGTACATCATGCACCAATGCTTGATATGTCCAAGTATGATGTAAAGGAGTTGCCAAATCTATGTTTCTGTCAACAAGGACTAATAAGGGCCTTTGGAAGCTGTAAATATATTAAAAAAAAAAATTATGTAACTCTTGATACCAGTGTATACATCTAAAATATTCTAATACTTTCCAGTATATGCCATTTTGATATGAATAATAGTATGCTAATATTGACAATTTATAATACTTTGTTTTTTAGTATATGTGCTGTGGAAGCAAGCACCACAATACTTTGCTATTTGTTGAGACAGGGTCTTGCTCTGTCATCCATGCTGGAGTGCAGTAGTGCAATCACAACTAACTGCATCCTTGAACTCCTGGGCTCAAACAATCCTCCCACCTCAGCTTCTGGAGTAGCTGGAACTACAAGCATGCACCACCACACCTGGTTAATTTTTAAATATTTTTATAGAGATGGGGGAGGCTGGCTTTTTAAAAACAAATTAAACATGGTCATGCAATTACAGTAATGCTCTGGATGACTTAGAGCTTGTGTATGACGCCAAATTATAAATGTTACTTAGGAAACTTTTTTTTTGAGACTCTGTCACCCAGGTTGGAGTGTAGTGGCACAATCACAGCTCACTGCAGCCTTCACCTCCCATGCTCAAGTAAGCCTCCCACCTCAGCCTCCCAATTAGCTGACACTACAGGTGTGCACCACCACTCTTGGCCAATTTTAAATTTCTTTGTAGAGACAGGGGCATCTAACTACATTGCCCAGTCTGGTCCTAGACTCCTAGGCTCAAGTGATCCTCCCACCTTGGCCTCCCAAAGTATTAGGATTATAGGCGTGAGGCATCATGCCTGGCCAGGAAATTTTCTTAAAGGAAAAAAAAATCTATATAAATATTTCAATAGAATAATTTTTGTAGTTAGCAAAATAGTAAGTTGCTTCTACTCAGATGTTTTTAATATTTTTGAAAAAGGCAATAAGGAATAGTTATTGTCAGCTTCAGTGAAAACAAAGAGAGTAGGAGCTTATAAATTTACACAAATATTTGACAGTTTCATAAATTTCATTTTTCTTCTATAAACACAAACTCAAAAAAGCAGACCCTGGACAAGAGCCTCAAAAAAACTCTATATCACTATAGTATACAAAATGAAAACATAATGCCATAATGGTACCTGATTATATTATTATTCCCTTAACAGAGAACGCATATGACACCTCATGTACTGTTTAACTCCATTATTACAATTTAGATGTGAAATAAACTACCACCGAAAGCAAACTGGGGCACAACGTTATTTGGTTACCATGCCTCTACAGAAGTTTTAGAGATCTGCTTTAGAGGCACTAACATATCAAGAGTACCCATCACTTTTCAAAAGGCATCACTATCTGATTATATATTTCCTTTTGCAATAGTATTTTGTAACTCATTACTCTCTTCTGGGTACAGGACAGCGGATTTTCTAACTGGACTGACTCTGGGATAAAAAGTCAGAGTGGCACCCTCACAATTTACTACGATTTATTACACCAGAGCTAGATGGAAAGTAAGGGAGGATGGCTTACTGCAGGGTTTCTTAATCCTAGCACTACAGACATTTGGGGCTGGATAATTCCTTATTATAGGGGGTTGTAGTGTGCATTATAGGATGTTCAGCAGCATCCTACAATGTACACTACAAGATTCTAGTAACACCTACCAGTTAAGACAATCAAACGCGTCTTTAGACAGTACCAAATGGCTATGAGAGGCAAAAACTGCCCTTTGTTGAAAATCACCAGCCTACGGTGAGATTCAAAAGTATTTAATAGTCTAGCAAAGTTGTGATCACTAATTAAAATAATTAAGAAATATACATCCAACAAGTTGAGAAATAAGATATTATGATAACGTGAACAAATTTAAAAAATTATCCAAATAAAACAGTGCCTTTATATTGGTTTCTAAAGCCTATACCAGAGCACTATAAAAAGGGAACTATTAAGTAAGGTATGACACAGTAGTTGGTTCTGCTAAAAAAAAAAAAAAAAAAAAAAAAAAAAAAAAAAAATGTGTGAGAAGTTGATGCTTTTCTTCTACCTAATGAGAAACATTTTAAAGAATATTTAAGACCAGCAATGAAATCATAGATCCATTTAAAATAATGTGGAAACTCAGACAGTTAACCAGACAATTAAAACACAGTGTTGGTGTGAACTCCAAATTACACAAGTAGTTTATAAGGCTGTAGGAGATACCAAATTGACTTGAAATGAAGTCTACTGAAGGTTATTATGAAATTATTATACCTAGTGGGCAGTTATTTTTCTGGCATCGATCTATTCTCACAGGCTTTATTTATTAATTCATCTAAACTGGGGTTAAGAATTAATTTTCCAGAATATCATCTCTTCCTCTTTAAACAACTCTCAGCCATTTGAGTGGGTTTCTTTACTTCTTTACTCCATTACTATTAACAATCAAAAGTTATACTATAATGTATAGGGTTTTCTAGTATTTCTATTTAATAATAAGCAGCCAAAAACTTTCACATTCCCTACTCATGCTAGAAATGCTAACAATAATAAAATGTTTTGCAAGTATAGGCTATTAGTATTTCAGTATAAAATGGAAATTAGGTTAATAAAGGTAGAAACAGATATAAATATCACCAGTTTTTCTCTCTGTGAAAAATTACCAAGCTGTTTAAGGATAACTGAAAGAAAGCCTTGGCTTCCAACCTTCAAAGCCTTATACACAGAAAAATTTCTCTTATATATAAAATGCTTAGAAATTTCTATCAAAAGAAGGTAAACTGAATAAAATATTCCGTTTGTATTTTAAGAACAATTTGAGTCAAAACCCTGATCCTGAGTAGCTCATTAAAAAGAAACAAATTTCAATTACAAGGATAAGATAAAAGTAGTCTATCAGCCAAGAAAAAAAACAAAAAAAAAAAAAAAACTACAAATATTTTTAAGTCTTATAAGTATATTTACTAACAGTAATACCTGAATTGGCCAGCTCCAAGTGTATCACCTGTAAAAAGACTGTTTCTTGCATCTCTTAGATTTTCTCGAAGTTTCTTGTCTAGTTTCTAAAAAATAAAATTTTACATGAACTCTTAAAGAACAGTTTCATGTAACTCTATGGAGGTTAATTCATAATGGGTTTTTCATTTCACAACAAAGAAACCTGGAATTTATTTACAAATAGCCAAACTAAAATCTAAATGTTTTAGCCCCTTCTTATCACTTTGATATCATCATAACGTGGACTTAAAAAAGATCAGTACCTTTTCTACTGTGACTCAGGCCTTTAATAAGTACTTTTTGTTGACTAATTTTACTTTGGCATGGGAAATGCTTTGCAGTAATGACCCACACTTTTTTCCCAAGCATGACTGTTTTACCAACAAAGATGTCTATATGGAGAAAATGTTGACTTGGGTGGGTAGGAGTGAACAAAGTAGTGGGGGTACAAGAAGCCTCAAAAGAAAAATGGAACATGTGAAAGAAAGCAGTCTTCCACCAGTCAGTAATTCACTTGGGCTAACAAAGCTCCAAAATACCCCCTTCTTTTTTAGTGATACTATAATTTCTCTAATCCCTTACTCACTTTTTAATCTTTAAAGCAAATTTATGAATACTTACTTTATACTCAATATTTTACTTCAGTATAGTGGGACAGCAAAAAGCACTTCATTTAAAAAATGGCTATGATTAGTAATAAATATTTGCTAAATGAAGTTAAATGTTAACTAATCTGGGGAATCATATAACTGTAAAATACTGCTTGGACAGACAAGGTTAAATGGGGAATATACATTGTAGTTAAAAAAAAAATAGGACTGGAAAAGCACACTGGCGTAAATAATTTTACTTCCCCACGTGAAAATAAACAATACTTACTTTTTATATTTGGTGGAATCTCAATGTAATAAAACAAAAATAGTTGCTATTGGTACTTACAACCAAGCAATTATAAATTTAAATATTAACAAAACACCTGCATTACTTGTGGGAAAACAATTCATACAAAGTTATTTATCTCCACATGATATCTGCATGAACTTACCACTGCTACCATTTCTGCTGCTGTTCCTCTTGAACATCTGATTATAGGAACAGCACCTATTTTAACAATAAATGTTAGAAATGATCTTGGCTCTTAATTAAAATAGATACTTATAAAATACATCAGCATCAAAAATAACAGATAACGATAGATGTATACAATTTCACATTATACACATAAAATAATTTTATTTTTCCACTTTTAATTAAAAAAATTAAGGAATATATTTAGGAGGTACAAGTACAGGTTTCTTGCATGAGTATATTGCATAGTGGTGAAGTCTGGGCTTTTAGTGCACCCATCACCCAAAGAGTGAACACTCTACTCAAAAGGTAATTTTTCAACCCTCCCTCTTCCCCACAAGCACACATAAAAGGATTTATAATTTCAAGAGTAAAAGCAAGTTTCAGAAATGAACCTTCTCATTAATAAAGAAAACAATAGAAGTCAAAAGAAAACTACTTTATATGGAGCTGACCCATCACTGTGACTGTATTTTTTTCAATGGATTGATTAAATCAGTACTTTGATCCCCTACAGGCCAGTTTCTTTCTTTCTTCTTGTGTTTTATTTTGGGATGAGGTGTCACCCTGTCACCCAGACTAGCAGGCTGGAGTGTGGTGGTACAATCATGGCTTGCTGCAGCGTTGACCTGCTGGGCTCAAGCCATCCTCCCACCTCAGCCTCCTGAGTAGCTAGGACTACAGGCACATGCCATCAAGCCTGGCTAATTTGGCAAAACTCTGCCTCTACAAAAATTACAAAAAATTAGCTGGGCATGGTGGTACGTGACTGTGGTCCCAGCTATTCAAAAGGCTGAGGTGGGAAAATCACGTGAGCTCTGGAAATCTGAGGCTGCAGTGAGTCATGATCACACTACTGCACTCCAGCCTGGTCATCATAGTGAGACTCTATGTCAGAAATTTTTTTTTTTTTTTGTAGACAAGGTTTAACTATGCTGTCCAAGCTGGTCTGAGCTCAAGTGATCCTGCTACTACCTCAACCTCCCAAAGTACTGGGATAACAGGTGTGAGCCTCTGCATCTGGCCTAAGCAGTTTCAATATATAAGCTTACTCTACTCACAGGACTAACTTTAATTTGACTTAAAAGAAAAGAATGAAAAGAGCTTAGCTAATTTAGCAGTTTGGGGACTGCTAGTTTTTATTTTATGAATTAACAATAAAGAACTGTAGTCTTTTTAAAAAAAATACTCATTTAAATAAGAGAAAACACATTCTTCACATAGGTTGAAATCCTAAATAGAAAAAAAGTCCAACTGCACTGAAAGTCTCATAAGACAAACTGAGAACACTATAATATTTATATGCTGAAACTGTTGCATTTTAGATTCTATAGGAAATATGAATATACTCAGTCAACTGCAAAAGTAAAAACAAAATAGCAAATTTTTCGTAACTGTGTTTTCTTCTGATGGCAAAAGTTATAAATGTTTGTAATAAAAAATTTAAATAAAATTAGAAATGTATAAACTTAATCCCCTTGATTCCAGCCCTCACGAATAACCCTCATTAGAATTAGGAATGGATGCTTTCATGTTGTTTTCTACATATAGTCTAATAACTGTGTGTGTATATATAAAAAACAAAAATAAGGTAGTATATATACTGTTCTAAAATTGTTTTTCCCCATGTAACAATTTAGTGTTGACATCCTTCTATGTCAGATTGGCAGTATTTCAATTTCTCCTTTGAAAAAAAAAATCACTGGCCGGGTGCAGTGGCTCATGCCTGTAATCCCACTGCTTTGGGAGGCAGGCTCAGGTGGGTGGATCATCTGAGGTCAGGAGTTCGAGACCAGCTTGGCCAACATGGTAAAACCCCATCTCTACTAAAAATATAAAAATTAGCCAGGCATGCTCTAGCATACCTGTAATCCCAGCTACTTGGGAGGCTGAGGCAGGAGAATTGCTTGAACCCGGAAGGTGAAGGTTGTAGTAAGCTGAGATTGCGCCATTGCACTCCAGACTGGGCAACAAGAACAAAACTCCATTTCAAAAAAAATAAAATAAAGAAAAAAAATCACTTTCAGATGGTCTATACATTATAAAGGTAGCTCTAACACTTCAGTGGTCTTTATATG